AGGCTGAGGCAGAAGGATCGCCAGAGCCCAGCAGGTTGAGGCTGCAGTGGCTGGGAGCGTGCCACTGCACTCCAGTCTGGGCGACAGAGTGAAACCCCAACTCAAAAAAAATAAAAAATAAAAAAATAATAATTAGATGTTGCCAAATATGAATACCCTAAAAGTACCAGTAAAGTTGCAGAACTAGCCTGATTCAAAAGTCATATTATGATTTTTCAGTTTTACTAAAGAATAACCATGACAATTACAACTCACCTTCACTCTAAGTGTCCAAGTGAAAAGAAAGCCAGAAGTTTAGACAAGAAATGTACCTTGACAACACCATAAGGAATGCGCCAGAGACAAGCAACATTCCTATCTTAGTTAACCTCCAGAAAATGGGAAAGTGACAGCACTGGCATGCCACCCAACATTCATGTACATAGCTACTCTGAGTCTGTTTTCCCAAGCATTGCATCTTCACAACTGCCTTCTAAACAACCTAAAAGCAGAGGCTTATTTTCACAATGAATACTAATTGAAATGTTTTCTCATAGCTGACTGAGATAAAACACATAGGACTACTATCCTTACCTACTCATAGGAAGACCTGAGAACAAGAGTGATCACTAGAAAGCAAATTTACTTCCATGAAGAACACTCTAGAACAAATCAATGGAAAGCAGAGCACAGGAACGTTTTCAATTACCTGGTCGTTTTTTCTTTGGCTCCTCCAGTGGGATGGGTTTCTTAGAAACAGCATCTTTCACAGCCTGTCTTAGCTTCCGTTGCTCTTTTCGGTACTTCTTGAGAGTGCTTTGTTGTTTAAATTGCTTGTTTTTTAGCTTGTTTTCAAGCTTGACTTTACTAGTTTTTAGCAACTTGCGAAAGCTTGGGACTTGTTTTTTATTTCTTCTCTAGAAAACAACAGAAAGAACACTGCATAACCAGAAATGTACAGTTTTATTTTTAAAATCAGGCTAAAGAGTACTGATGGTCAATTTCATCAGAACAATTCCGCAATCTTCACATCTCACAGTCCCGTTTCGTGCACGTAAGTGCTAAAACCAAAGTATGGCATTCGTTGGCAATTCAGAGCTGGTTAAGTACCTGTAGTTTATCACATTCAGAGCAAAACGCTGTCTTTAATAACGACGGACATCTCCATACAGCTTGCCATTTACTAAGTGCCCCCAACAAGTCACCTCCGAAGGCCTAGTTAGGTGCAGATCGCTGTCATCCTCACACTACTGATGAAGCAGCGAAGACCAGGAGGTTGTGCCACTTGCCAGAGTCCCCTAAAGCGAGGAGGGCCAAACCGAATTCCGATCCTTGGATTCCACCTCTCTTGCTGGCGACCCCTCCCTCCCTCAGGAATCCAAACCCCAGGACCAGCTCTAAGGGAGAAGCAGGGCAGATCACTCGCTTTCCCGTCTCTTTACCCTTCCCGGGGGGCTGGGGGCGGGGGTGGATTCGTATCGGGTCTCGCGACTCACATCGTAAGCTCACTGAGGGCGGGACCCTGACCCTGCTTCTCCACTGCAGAAAAAAGGTCCGAAAGACAACCGTGAAGAGCCCTTCAAAGCCTGACACCTTATGGCTGGTGTCACCGGGCTCCCCGGCAGCCGTGCGCTCGCACAGTGGGCGACCACGGACGCGCGGGTCCCAGGACCGGGAAGCGGACAGCGCGGAGTCCGGGGGGTGGGGAGCCGGGACTCGACCCCCGCCCCACCCCCGGGGTAAACCCGCCCCGAGGCTACTACCCCAGGCAGCGACCCTGTCAGCCGGAAGGGTCCCAGGCCGCAGCGACCGGACTTCAGAGGACACCCACCGCCTTCATCCTTAGGCCTGAAGGGAGTCCCGGCGGGACAAGCTCCGCGGCTGCAGGGGGATCCCAGGAAGCCGGCGGGAGCGACCCACGTGCAGAACCCG